TGAGGATATGGGGAGGGGGAAGGGTAAGCTGTGACAGAGCGAGAGTGGCATGGACATATATACACTACCAAATGTAAAATAGATAGCTAGTGGGAAGCAGCTGCATAGCACAGGGAGATCAGCTCGGTGCTTTGTGACCACCTAGAGGGGTGGGATAGGGAGGGTGGGAGGGAGGGAGATGCAAGAGGGAAGAGACATGGGAACATATGTTTATGTAGAACTGATTCACTTTGTTATAAAGCAGAAACTAGCACACCACCGTAAAGCAATTATACTCCAATAAAGATGTAAAAAAAAAAAAAAAGAGGAGGAGAAGGAGGAGGAAAGATTAAAGGCAGTCAATTTTTTTTTCCCCAGAAAAAAAAATGTACTTTATCACACACAAAGAATGACAGAAAGCAACGGTAAAATGCTAACATTTGAGGAATCTGGGTAAAGAGTATATGAGAATTTTTTGTACTAATTTTAGAACTTTTATGTCTGAAATTGTTTCAAAATAAATGTTTTAAAGAAATTAAAAATTAAATACGATCAAAAGAAAGCAGGTATAGCAATATTAATGTCAGACAAAATAAAACTCAAAGCAAAAAGCATAAAACAGAAGAAAAAGGGCTACTGGATAATAATTTGAAAATACAGTCTACCAAGATATAATATCATAAACCTTTTTGTACTTAACAAAATAACTTTAAAAATGAATCAACAAAAATGTAAGGGAAAACAGACAAATTCCAATCACTGTTGAATACTTTTAACTATCCTAGAAATTAACAGATAAAATAAAAGGCATTCAGATTTGAAAGGAAGAAGCAAAGCTGTCTTTACTTGCAGGCTGCATTATCCTGCATGTAGGGAACTCCAAGAAATCCATACACAAAAAACTACTAGCACTAATAAATGAGTTCAGCAAAGCTATAGGATACCAGGTTAATATTTTAAAATCATTCATAGTTCTATATACTTAGCAATGAAAAATCTAAAAATAAATCAAGGAAAAATTCCATCAACAATAACATCGAAAATAATAAAATACTTAGGAATAAGTTTAACAGAAGTGGTGCAAACCTTGTACACTGAACATTACAAAACATTACTAAGAAAAATTAAAGATTAGCTAAATAAATGGAGAGATATTCCAGGTCCCTGGATTGAAAGACTCAATATTATTACGATAGCAATTCTCCCCAAACTGTGATCTATAGATACACAATACCTATCAAAATCCCAGAAGAATTTTTGTAGAAACAGACCAGCTGAACCTAAACTTAATATGGAAATACAAAGGATCCATAATAGCCATTATAACCATGTAAATGTAGAGCCATATAAATGTTATCCATAATAACACTTCTGAAAAAGAAAAGAGCTGTAGGACTTACACTACTATATTTCAACATTTACTATAAAAGCAGTAGCAATTGGACTTCCCTGGTGGCGCACTGGTTAAGAATCCACCTGCCAATGCAGTGGACATGGGCTCGACCCCTGGTCCAGGAAGATCCCACATGCCACGGATCAACTAAGTCTGTATGCCACAACTACTGAGCCTGTGATCTAGAGCCTGCGAGCCACAACTACTGAAGCCCATGCACCTAGAGCCCATGCTCCTCAACAAGAGAAGCCACCGCAATGAGAAGCCTGTGCACCACAACAAAGAGTAGCCCCCACTCACCGCAACTAGAGAAAGCCCGCGTGCAGCAATGAGACCCAACACAGCCAAAAATAAATAACTAAAATAAATAAATTTATTAAAAAAATAAAAAAAGAAATGGGGAGTCCCATGACAAATCTTTACACTTATGGAGAACTGATTTTTGACAATGGGTGAAGGACTGTCTTTTCACCAAATGGTGCTGGGACAACTGGATAGTCATATTCATAAAGACGAATTTAGATTTGTACTTCATTTGTATTTCACAAAAATCAACTCAAAATGAATTACAGACTTAAATGTAAAACATAAAAATATAGGAGAAAAACTGTGCTCATGGATAAGGCAAAGAGTTCTCTGGTACACCACCAAAAGCATACTCCACAAGACAAAGAGTTGGTAAGCTGGACTTTATCAAAATAAAATATGTTTACACTTTGAAAGACACTGTTAAGAAAATGAAAAGGCAAGCTAGATACTGGAAGAAAATATTTGCAAATCATGTGACTGAGAGAGAACCTGGATCTAGAATATTTAAAGAACTGTTACAATTTGGTATAAGACAACCCAATTTTATAATGGGCAAAGATTTGAATAGACATTTCACCAAAGAAGAAAAACACATGCCTAACAAGTACATTAAATGATGCTCAACATCTTTTCAACCTGATCTCAGTTAACAGGCAAATGCAATCAAAGCACAATGAGATATTTCATACCCTAGCACTAGAATGGCTATAATAAAAAGATAGTGGGCTTCCCTGGTGGCACAGTGGTTAAGAATCCTCCTGCCAATGCAGGGGACACGGGTTCGAGCCCTGGTCCGGGAAGATCCCACATGCTGCAGAGCAACTAAGCCCATGAGCCACAACTACTGAGGATGCGCTCCAGAGCCCACGAGCCACAACTACTGAGCCCGCATGCCGCAACTACTGAGGCCCATGTGCCTAGAGCCCATGCTCCACAACAAGAGAAGCCACTGCAGTGAAAAGCCCACGCACCACAATGAAGAGTAGCCCCTGCTTACAGCAACTAGAGAAAGCCCGTGTGCAGCAATGAAGACCCAATGCAGCCAAAAATAATAAATAAAATAAAATTTAAAAATAAAAATAGATAGTAACATGTGTTTTAAAAAGCCCTTACCAGCTACTGAACTGTATGCTTAGAAATGGGTTAAAATATTAAATTTTATGTTATGTATATTTTACCGCACACACACACAAAGCCTTTACCAATTCGTTAAAAAAAAAAAAGATGAATAAAGCAGGAAAAACCAAAGCCAAACCCCCCCAAATCTTCCATCTTTAGATGGCTTCTCTGGTGATTTCTATCAAATATTTAAAAAAGAAGTAACACAATTTCACGTAATCTTTTCCAGAAAACAGAAGAGGAGGAAATACTTGCAAATTTACTTAAAATGAGGTAAATTTAAATGTATAATTAAAGGCATCATGATTTACTTTTTGCAGAAAGTGCATTACTAAAGTATAAAAGACATAAAGTATTGGACCACAAGTCTTAAGAACTGGGTTCCAATCCAGATTTTGTTACCAACTAGTTGTATAATCTTTAGCAAGTTACCTCATCTTGTTGGGCCTCGGTTTCCTCATTTGTAAAATAAGGAGAAGTACCAGAGAAATCCTTTCCATCCACATAGTATAATTCTATGGTATATTTATTACATAAAATTTTGTTTAAAACTTGCCCAATTCTAAGTTGGTATAACCCTTCTGGAAAACAACATGGCAATATGTAGTAAGAGCCAGTTCATACACTTTGGAGAAGTTTTTCAATTTCTGGATATTTATCTTAGGGATATTTTTCAGCCAAAGCAAAAGAATACATAAAAAGATGGTCACTTTAACAACTCACATGTCCAAAAAGAGTGGAATAAGATAGTAATACAAAGAAATATCAAATTACTAAAAATTAGTATGAAGATAATGAAAAATATTTTTGTTAGATAATAATCAGAATATAAATGATTTAAAATATAAAAATGTACACAGTATATAAGTATGTGCCAAAGAAAATGTCATATGAGCTAATGAAAGGAGTATTAGAGTTGTGAGTCCAAAGGTTTTTTTTTAATCATAAAGAGTTTTTTTTTTTTTTTTTTCTTTTTGCGTTACGCGGGCCTCTCACTGTTGTGGCCTCTCCCATCGTGGAGCACAGGCTCTGGACGCGCAGGCTCAGCGGCCATGGCTCACAGGCCCAGCCACTCCGCAGCATGTGGGATCTTCCCAGACTGGGGCATGAACCCATGTCCCCTGCATCGGCAGGCGGACTCTCAACCACTGCGTCACCAGGGAAGCCCTAAAGACTTTTGAAATGTTGAAACATTATATACTCAAAAAGAAAAAAACAAAAACTTGTCCAAAGGATAGAGATACAAAATATCAGGATTATGTTGATGAGGTTCTAAATTGCCCTGGCTTGACTAATGCTTCCTAAGAGTGGTTATGAACCTAGGGCTCCCAGCTGAAGTCTCAATGATTAAAACTTTTATCAATTGATACTGGAATTATCAACAGTATTTTACTTGTCCTACTCAGTGTTGAGATAAAGCCTGGAAGTCTTATGATTTTACCAAATACCCATTAAAATCCAGATATAATACTGGAGAGTTCAAAATCCTTATGCCTGATTATTTCATTTATCACTGTTGCTCCCTTTCAAGTTCTCAATTTAAAATTTCTCAGGCAGCCTTCATTTTTAAATGTATCAGCCACAAAACTATTTGAGTTATACAACCACCAAATTTCCTCTAAAGTAAGAATAGTGAAAAGAAGGGAGTATCTAGCTTCCTGATTTTCCTTTGTATTTCTATAGCTGTTTGCTAGGATGGGAACTTCGAGAAGGTCAGCAGAGAGAATACTTGGTAAATGCTACCGTGCACAATCCTCATAAAAGTAGGTGGAACCATATGAAATTATTTGTGTAGATCAAAAATTTGACTATCAGCAGTCTCATATGGCTCAACGTAGGTCAGTGCCTTTTTTTTAATTAAGAAAAACTTTATGTCCCCTTTGAGACTGTAGAATCACTGTCAAGGACTCTCCTTAACCCTCTCAATGAGTGTATTTACGTGAATCCTTTTTTTCAGAACCAGAATTTAAGCAATTAGTTTTTGCTTGTTTGCATTAAAATGCCAAAGCCATAAGCAAAACCAAGAAGTGTTTTAACAGAAGCCAACCAAAGAATAAATATCAGAATTATCCTATTCAACTCAATTCCTGTCAAAGTCATGTTTTTCCTCACAGAAGCAATAAGTTTTGGTGCCAACATTTTCAGAGCAACGCTTCTTCCACTTCCAACAGAAATCAATCCCATTTTGAGAGCAGCTTACCTGAAACTACCATAGACTATAAGTAGAATGGAAATCAGAAATGTAGACACTTGACTGGAATCCACCAGGGAATAGGCCCTAGAGAAATAAGAGGAAAAAAATTTTAATCACATGGCAGCAAGTCCTCATGGAGTTTACAGTCTGATGGATTTTTATAAACCCCACTAAGTTTTATTTTTGTCTTTAGGAAGGAAAACAGGTATAAATTAGCATTAACAAAATACATAATTAAAACACAGATCTGCTACCTTAACATAAAGAGTAATGCATAGCTTCACAGCTATTATTAGTTAACATTCACAGGATGTTAAATGACATTAATGTAAAAAATGCCATCCCCATATGATAGGCAATATGTGCTTCCACTCCCAAGTTAAAAAGTACCAAAACATCTACCAACTCTGTACACTTGAATTATCAATAGTATTTTACTGGTTTTGCTCAGTAATGGAGTAAAGCCTGTGTCTCTCTCCTGGATTCTAGTTTTATTTTTATAACTGCCTATTGGTTCTCTCCATCTAGGTGTCCCACAGAAGGTTCTTTCAAGTCAACACGTCCAAAACTAAAGTCATTAGTCTTCCCTTCATACCCAAATGTCTTAAGGAATGATATCATGATTCCCTCAGCATTCTCGACACCCTGTTCTCTTACTTCCCAAATGTGACGACAGTCAGTAAGTCTCACAACTTCCACTTCTGCAAATACCCTACTTCTCTCAATCCTACTGCCAATTCCTTAGCTCCCTTCTATGGCTTGACTATCAGAGATCTTTTTTTTGGGGGGGGGGGCACATCACTCGGCTTGTGGGATCTTAGTTTCCGGACCAAGGATCGAACCCAGCCCCCCTGCAGTAGAAGCACAGAGTCCCAGGGAATTCCCAGCACCAAGGAATTCCCAATGTTTGCAAGTCTGTCTTCAGGAATTCACCGTTCACACTATCCATTCATGTTATGGATTTTCCTAAAACAAATTTCTCTTCATTTTTTCCCTCAATAAATATTTAATGATGCTTCTGTGCCTGGCACTCTGCTAGCCCCCAGGGACGTAATAAAAACCAAGACTGTCTTTGTCTTCACCCTGAATGTCTTTTCTAAAGGAATTTAAAAATTAAATTTTGTTCTAAAGCAACGAAAACAAAAAGTTAACATAAGCAAGTGAATATAATTGTTGAAAATGTTATAAATTTTCAACAAGTACAGGGTACCTTGAGAATGTATAATTCTCAAATCTTAGGATTCTACCTAAGAACTAGGGGTGGGGGGGGGCTTCCTTAGGGGGGCAGATGAATGAGAGAGATACAAGACTCAACAAAATAGGATTTGGTGATTGTTTATGAGGCTAAGAGAGGATCCCCAGGTTTCTGCTAAGCAGCTGGTGGATGGCTATACCATTTGGCAAAAAAACAGGAGGAGGAGATTTGAAGTTTTGGATGTGCTGAGGAAACAGCTGGCTATCTGGGTCTAGAGTTCAGAAGCAGCTCTAAGCTAAGGATACATATTGGGAGCTCATAACCTTCCACATGGTAATTGAAGCCACGGGTGTGGGTGAGAAGAGGACCCAGGATGAAAGCCTGAAAATTCAGAAATTTAAAGATCAGAAAGAAGGAGGAGCTGCAAAGAAAACAAAATGAAACAGACAAAGAGGAAGAAAACCCAGGATAGCAGGTAACTGATGAAGTGTCTTCAAAGAGAGCAGCAGGATCACATGAGATGCTGCCTGAACTTAAACTGCTCTACCCCTTACCAGCAGTTAGTTTTCATTTGCGTTAATTACTTTTCTGATGTAATTAATTTTAAAGTGAATTACAGTGAGATTCAGCAGCTTTTCATATAATTAAGGGCCAATAGGCATTTTTTTTAAAAAGCAATTTAAAAGTTTTTCAGACTCCTGATCTATAAAATATGAAAGGAGCCTGTTTTTGTGGGGGGGGCACTTTTCTTTTGATGGTGTTTTATTTAGATGACTTAGCTTTTCTATACCTTTCATGTTCTGAAGCATATTGCCATTCCCTAAAAAGTAGATTAAACATTTAAACTTCCCAAACTCAGTGTCTTAAGGTTTGGTACTATTGTTTTTTTCTTTTGCTATAACTCTCAAATCAATGGAGACCCTCCAGAGACATCACTTAAGACTTCTAGAAGTCTGGGTTGAATTTTGGTTAAACCAGCTCTTCCTCCTCCACAGTTTCTCTATGCTGTGCTCTACTCTGTGTGACTAACCATACTTAGTCACTGACTTTCCTCACAATCTGTTTTTCAAGGTGCAGTCTTGGCCATGTGTTAAATACCTTACGAAGAGGCTGATTAGCACTACCTGTTCTCATCTCCATTTTCTGGCGATAAGCATACTACCCACCCACTGCAGAGCAAAATGCATGGTTTCAGAAAAAATGTTCTGATGTTTCATTTAATGGTTTCTTCTATACTGGACCAGTTTATTTTTCAAATAAATCTGTATCAAGAAAATCTGGTTAAAACTGACTCCTAATATAGTTCATGGTATTTTATAATTTACAGTAAAACTTTTAAAAAAGTTTGAACAACTTTGAAAACTACCAAATATCCCATAATTAGAAGTTCTAATTTATTTCACAGTGTTATTTGAAATTTCATATATTTCAACTCAAACTACCATTATGGAAGTTTTACAAAAAGCCTTTTAACAAAAAGAATTTATTATAAACTACAGAACATGGATTAAAATCAAAGGCCAGGGGCTTCCCTGGTGGCGCAGTGGTTGAGAATCCGCCTGCCGATGCAGGGGACAAGGGTTCGTGCCCCGGTCCGGGAAGATCCCACATGCCGCGGAGCGGCTGGGCCCGTGAGCCATGGCCACCGAGCCTGCGCGTCTGGAGCCTGTGCTCCCCAATAGGAGAGGCCACAACAGTGAGAGGCCTGCGTACCACAAAAAAAAAAAAAAAAAATTAAAGGCCAGCAATCTTATTTTACAGCCCCTCTGTATCCTATACTTCAGACTCTACCAAAGCATCAACAGAAATGTATCATCTCTCAGGCCCTCCCATTGAGGTGACTGTTTCCAGAGACGCTGGATTCACGATAAAGAAAGGAGGAATTACTCTACACTCTGAAGTAAAGAATTCTTACAGAAATGCAAAAAGAAACTACATACATGCATTTGAGACATGCTGAAAGCAGGTTAGCCAAACGCACTAAAAACAGACTTGAAGACTGCCAAATAATGTATTAGTATAGGTCAGCTGTTGAGTTGAAACATTTTATATGGTCATTATGAAAACCATTAATTCTTTAACTACATTCCCCCATGTCTTAATAGACAAAGAGCTACCAGAAAGTTCTCTCATATATAAGGTTATATTTCACACCCTAAGATTTTTAGAACCATGCTGGATTTTAAGAGCTGCTCTACAGTCAAGCATCTATTTCTAGCTGCTTTACCAGCAAGTGCTTAGACACATCCTGCTAAAAATCATGCCAAACTGAGACACAGAGAGTTCTGTTCTATAACGTGTTCTATGTGTCAGCCTGCCAGCTATACAATGAAAGCATTCTTGTCCACCCAACAAACCAAGCAGCTACTATTCCAACCCTGCACACTGACCTAGAATAGCACTTGGCAAACTTTCTGGTCTTGAGACCATCTATACTCTCAAGGACCCTGAGGGCTTTTTTCCTGTGGGTTACAGCTATTGATATTTACAATACTAGAAATTAAAAGTGAGAAAAAATTTAAATGCTTATTTACTAATTCATTTAAATATAATAAAACCATTACACTAGCACATAAATTACATTTTTAAAGGAAAGGTAACTGTTTTCCAAAACAAAAAATTTAGATGAGGGCCATCCTTCTACATTTTTGCAAACCTCTTTAATTTCTGGCTTAAACAGAAGATAGCCAGATTCTCATAATTCAATGCAGAATTCTCCTGCATTCAATCTGCTGCTGTATGTTACTTTAGTTGAACTTTGTGGGGGGAAAAATATCTGGCCTTACACAGATGTGTAGCTGGAAAAGGGAGGAATATTTCAATAACCTTTTCAGATAACTGAGGATATTCTTCTTTGATACTACACTAAAATTCAACAAGTGGCAATTTCTTAAAGGTTACTTGCAGTGTGGAATCTGAAACCTTATCAGTGAATTTAAAAAAAACTATATTACATTAAAATCCCACGGACTATATTATAGTTGAATGGATCTTTTACCCATGGATGATTTTGTAACATCATGCATTGGTCACCTGGAAGACACTGGTCACTGAGTTATGCAGCTCTTCCAGATGTTGTTACATTTCATTACACAATATCTGAAAAACCACATTTGTTAAACTTTTTTTAAAAATTTTATTTTATTTATTTATTTTTGGCTGCATTGGGTCTTCGTTGCTGTGCATGGGCTTTCTCTAGTTGTGGCGAGCGGGGGCTACTCTTCGTTGCAGTGTGCGGTCTTCTCATTGTGGTGGCTTCTCTTGTTGCGGAGCACAGGCTCTAGGCATGCAGGCTTCAGTAGCTGTGGCACGTGGGCTCAATAGTTGCAGCTCATGGGCTCCAGAGCGCAGGCTCAGTAGTTGTGGCATATGGGCTTAGTTGCTCTGCAGCATGTGGGATCTTCCTGGACCGGGGCTCGAACCCATGCCCCCTGCATTGGCAGGCAGATTCTTAACCACTGAGCCGCCAGGGAAGCCCTGTTAATTTCACTCTTGAGGCTAATGATAATGGGCACAAAATTCCTATTTTCATGCAAATTTTATCACTGGCAAATATAACTTTTTTCCCCCTTGAAGTAACAGGCTCACTTCATTCATTTTTGAGAAACTGTCTGCCACACACCCAAGTGTGAATAACTCCATAGTTTGTCCACTAGTCATCCTTCAAGTAAAAATGGAAGGTTCCAAGAAAGAAGTAGCTAGTTCAGCTAGCATTTTAAATGACTGCACAAGTGTTTTTCTTAAGAAAACCAATGGTATTTTATTATATAGCAGAAGTGCTTAATAAGAACTTTTTAGAAGTTAATTGAAGTATAGTTGACTTACAATATATTGGTTTCAGGTGTACAACATAGTGATTCAGTATTTTTATAGATTACACACCATACAA